GAGAGGAGAGTCTGATGTGTTTGAATGGGCACTGTTCACTAAAATAAGAGCAATACATAATTTACATGAAAGGACCAGGATGCCCCTGTTTAGTGATGGGACACCCAGTCTAATAAAACACAAGATACAATTAGGCCCAGTTACTAAGGCCCATTAACTAGAGACTCTAATACCCAGCCCAGACAAGAGAATAACAACATATCAGCCGAACCAACACACTACACTACCACCCCCTCGAGCCCATGACCATCGGATCCCCATCCAACCCGGAGCTCCACCCACCAATGTAAGGCCCTACCGCTACCCCCATTACCAAAGAATGGAAGTAGAGCGAATGGTGACAGAACTGTTAGGCAAGGGACTAATTCGGCCCAGCAGCAGTCCATATCACCGGTGATTTTGGTGAGAAAGACGGGAGTTGGAAGTTTTGCGTGGATTATAGAGCCCTGGACTGCATCACAGTCAAGGACAAGTACCCCATACTGCTGATTAAAGAATTGTTCGATGAATTGGGCCAAGCTAAGTATTTTTCCAAGATGGACCTACGGTCAGGCTACCATAAGATCCGGGTCCACCCAGATGACATGCACAAAACTGCTTTCAGAACCTCAGATGGACACTTTGAGTTCCTTGTGATGCTGTTTAGACTAACCAATGCCCCTTCTTCATTCCAAAGGATTATGAACGGAATTTTAAACCTTACCTGCGTCTCCTTGTTCTAGTGTTCTTTGGTTACATACTAGTTTATAGTTCTGTTGGGCTTCTCACTTGGAACACTTGCAATGTGTGTTAAACTTAATGTGGCAGCACCAACTGTTTGCTAAGCCCACAAAATGTTCGTTTGGACATACCCAAATTAGTTACTTGGGCCACATCATTTTTGGAGGGCAGGTGCACACGGACCCGGAGAAGACTGAATGCATGATCTCCTGGGCCCGGCCCAACTCCCCAAAAGCTCTTAGGGGGTTCCTGGGGTTAACCGGTTATTACCAGACGTTCATTAAAGGGTATGGAATACTTGCAGCACCTTTCACCCGACTGCTCAAGAAACATTCATTCGAATGGGATCAGAAGGCAGAAGAAGCCTTTCAAGCACTTAAGGAAGCTGTCACCTCACCTCCTACACTGGCCCTTCCTAACTTTGAGCTGGAGTTCATAGTAGAGGCTGATGCTTCGGGCACCGGAATTGGTGCAGTCCGAATGTAGCAGGGCCAGCCCTTGGCCTACTTCATCAAGGCCCTCTCTCCACAGGCCCAAGCCAAGTCCACCTACGAGAAGGAGCTCATGGCCATCACCCTAGCAGTCCAAAAATGGAGAGCTTACCTACTTGGGCCGGCGGTTCATTGTCAGGACTGACCACCGCAGTATCAAGCATTTGTTGGAGCAGAGAGTTTTGGGCCCTGACCAGCACAAATGGGCCTACAAGCTGATGGGGTATGATTTTTCTATCGAATACAAGCCAGGACCCTCCAATGCAGTAGCAGACACCCTCTCCAGAGCTGAAAACCTGTGCTCATTGGGCGTGTCTCGACCAAGCTACCCAATGACATCATAGCTGAAACAGGAAGCCCAAGATGATCCCCAGGTATAGGAGGATGTGACCCAGGTCCCAGGATACACACTTCAGAATGGGCTTCTCTACTATAAGGGACGGATGGTGGTGTCGAGTGAGTCCAAATACCATCAAGAGCTGTTGCGGCTCTTTCATAACTCAGCCCAAGGAGGGCACTCGGGAGTTCTGCGGACCTATAAACGTTTAGCCGCCCATTATTACTGGAAAGGAATGAAGTGAATGGTCCGGCAGTTTGTGACCCGATGCACTATGTGTCAACAGCAGAAGTGCAGCACCCAGAACCCAGTCGGACTGCTGCAATCACTGCCAATACCCGAACAGGTATGGGAAGAAGTAACCATGGACTTCATAACAGGGTTGCTCACATCCCAAAGGAAATCCGTAGTGCTGGTGGTGGTAGACCGGCTGAGCAAATATGCAGACTTTATAAGCCTCTCACGACCCTATATAGCAGCCACAGTGGCCCAAGCTTACATCCGGGAGGTGGCCAAGCTCCATGGGACCCCTCAGTTCATCTTGACGAACCGGGATCCGCTTTTCATGAGTACCTTCTGGAAGGCATACTTCACAGCCCAAGGGGTCCAGATGTTGCACTCCACTAGCCACCACCCCCAGACAGATGGGCAATCAGAGGTCGTTAACAGATGTTTGGAGACTTATCTGAGATGTTTTGTGGGCGATAGGCCCAAGCAGTGGGCCCAATGGCTGCCCTGGGTGGAATACTGTTATAACACCACCTTCCAGGTGTCTGCCGGGACCACCCCCTTCAAGGTGCTATACGGTTACGAACCTCCTTCTATACTGCCTTATGAACAGGGCATGTCACCGGTAGCCAAGGTGGGCACACAGCTGCAGGCCAGAGACACTACCCTGAAGCTCCTCAAATTCCATCTACAGCAGGCCCAACAGCGAATGAAGCTGGCCTATGACAAGAAGCACCGCGAACTGGAGTTCTCCGTCGGGGATTGGGCCCATCTTCAGCTCCAGCCATATCAGCAGACCTCATTGGAGAGGAGGGTGTCTCAGAAGCTATCTCCTCGGTTCTTTGGCCCATTTCAAGTGGCAGAACGAGTCAGGCCAGTAGCATACCGTCTCTGCCTACCAGCTGAGTGACAGCTACATCCCATATTCCATGTCAGCCTCCTTAAGCCCTGTGTGTCTACTACTGATACTATCAGTCCTACTCTTCCACCATTCACTGAGTCAGGGGAGGTACTATTTGAGCCCAAGATGATTAAGGACTTACGCTGGGTTCACAGGAGAAGGAAGGTGATCAAACAGTCATTGGTAGTATGGCATGGCTTGCCTCATGAGGATGCCACGTGGGAAGACTACATTCAGCTTCAGAAGCAGTTTCCTACACTTGACCTTGAGGACAAGGTCGTTCTGGAAGAAGGCAGGATTGATAAACCCCATAAGAAGAATATCCCAGATGAAATACTTCAGGCCCATCAGGCCCATTTGAAGGTCCAGAGCGTCACAAGGGTTACTCCACCAATTACGTTTGCATACACACGTCGCCCACGTACTGAATAGAGGCATGTGTGCTCAGAAGTTGTTATGGGTTGTACGGCCATGCACTATAAAGGCCAACCCGCATTGCGTGAATGGGCGGTGAAACATTTAGCAGAATATCGTTCTCTCTCTCTCTCTCTCTCTCGACCCTATTTCATCTGTTTCAGGAGGGCGAGCTCCCTTGAACCAGCTCATCGGCAACCCAAATAGAGGAGGGTATTAACAGTGAGAAACCTAATTCAGAGCACAAATTACTTATTGTTTTCACCACTCAGTTAAGAGAATGAGCAAGATTATAAACTATATCATTCCAAGCCTTCCAAATGAGAGTAAACAATGGCCAACCTACTCAACATATAACTAGCCAACTCCTCTGAATGGCATTGACATAAATAAAATGCAGAAATTCATTGACACAACCAAAATGATACCACATAATTCTAAGACCACAGAAAGAAGCAAACAAAACAGCTTTCGAAAATGGACAATGCACAAAAAGCTATAGAACATCTTCTCCTTCCATACAATGGAAAGAACACACATTCTCCACCTGCATACCAATTCTGGTCAGAAAGGACTTAGTGGGAAAAAATCCTCTAATTATTCTCCGCAAAAAGAGTTTGCATTTTGGAGGTATTTTGAGTTTCCAAGCCTTCTGAATTAGTCTTTTCTGATTTTCTTCCACTACCACATTTGAGTCCTGCCGAAGATAGTCACAAAAGAGTTTGATAGAAAACTTACCACTAGGAGCTCCTAACCACAGAAAATTTTCCTTATCCAGAGTTCTAAAGACATTGGTTCCTAAAATGAATTGAACTTCTTCATAAGAAAGCAACTGATTTAGCTTTGTCACATCCCAATCCCCATTCTCCATGATCAACTCTTTCACAGTTAGAGCTTGATCCCCCTCTAGTTGGTGAACCTATTGGAGTTCTAAAGCTATTTCCATCATAGATCCAAGGACAATTTTACATATTAATTTCAGCATTCCTGCAAATTTGAACCCATAATTTTGGCAAAAAATACCAAACTGCTTTACAAATTGTTTTCCAGATTTGAGAAGCTTCCTTCAAAAATCTGTAAGGGATTAGCTCTTGATTTTTTAAATATCTACACTTTAGGAGCTTGACCCACAAGGCAAGCTCATGATTTTTATCTACAATTCTACATTGTTGATTTATTGTGTTCTAATTAATGTATGCATTTACAGTGGTTACTACATATGGTGGTTTGATAAAGGAAAGGTATTACTTCATTCCAAGAGAGAAGAAATCACAGAATGCATCAAGACAAAATCGTGTGGTAACTCACCCTATTAAGGAAGGAGGTTGGTGGAATTCTACGCAAGGCAATAAAAAAGATTTTTGATGCAGAAAGGAGGACCGTGGGATACAAGAAGAGTCTTGTATTCTACCGCTACAAGGAGACTAAGAAATCTAGCAAATCCAGTGAAAAAAACCAACTGGATTATGCATGAGTTCAGCCTTGCAGAAGATGATGGACAAGTAGGCAACAAGTTCCAACAATGGGTCCTTTGTAGGATTAAAGAGAACAAGAGAAAAGGCGATGATACAGAAGAAAGACAAGGAGGAGGAGGAATCATGGCCGGGGACTATAGGAATTTCAATGATGCATTTGCATCCTCAATCCCACTTTTAGAACAAGGAAATTATCATCAGGAAGAAACAATATTGGAAGATCAACAGGGTACCAACAACACTACAAATGCAGTATTGTGGACAAAGGGGGATGAGGAAATGAGGGAAGCAGAGGAAATGATGACATTTCGAGGAATAGTGTGGGCAACTGTACTGGTGTTGCCAGTGGATGATGCAGAGGTGGAAATTAACGAACTGTTGGAAATGATTGAAACAAATCATAGCTATTCTCCAGAAGTTCATACAGCTCATCCCAGTGGGGGCATTAAAGAACAACAGCAGCAACTACCACAGCCACAACAAGAGGACAGTGCAATTCTTATGCAGGAGCATATCTACTCTGATGAGGTTTTCTACCAGCAGCAACAACCATAACTACAACCCATGGAGATAACACTGCAGGCAAGTCAGCAAGCAAATAACCATGTGAATCTTCGGTATGATGTGATTCTTGGGTATTTGGTGTTGAATAACAACAGCAGCAGCAGCTACTACCACAATGTCTACAACCACAGCCAGCAATAAATCAGATATGGGATGACAGATACCTGAAAAACATGAATTTGTACAATGGTCCCAATCCCTCATTTTTTACCTCAGTATCATTGGCCACAGGAGACACAATTTAGGGTGGTTAAATTTGAAAGCTGGAGAAAGGGAGAGATGAGTAAGAAAAAAGAGGGGGATGAGGAGGAAAAGATAATATGTTTGTCTCATCCTACTATTGTGTACTACTACATTTACTTTTCTGAGTAATGAAAACAACCCAAACACCCTTCCATGGACGTAACTTCCATTTATGGAAGTGAACCACGTAAACCACGTAAAAATTTGTGTGCCTTCTTCCTTCATTTTTTATGCTGACTGTAAGGCTATGTTTAGTTAGATACACGGAGACAGAAAGTTGAGGGGGAAGTTCTTGACAAATTTTGCCAAATTCCTCAAGAACAATTCCACCAACTTTCTGTTTCTGCACTAATCAACAAAAAAAAAATGTTATGTTTCTGTGTTTTTCTCAACCATGCCAAACACACACAACCTAAGAAAGTGTACTCACATCTAAATTAACCTCGTGTAAAAACCACACACAGGATCCAAGTTCAGTTGTCAAAAACAATTTGTATTATAAACAAGAATAGAAAAAACAATGTTCTTAGAAAATTCTATAGGATGAAAGCAATGTTTTTGGATGATTCCAACAGGTCAAGCAATTCTTACTCGTAGTGGATTATGGGGGAGAACAACAGTTGCACAAGGTTCCAACTATGTTTTACAAATGGCCATGGAAGGAAAATGTGTTAACTTGATTCAATCTTCCCATGCGATTCCCACCTACACCCACACCCACTAAATAGAAATCTTCTCCTTAATCAGAAGGCAAAATCCACTCAAATAAATTCTAATGTTGGAATTATACATAGTTCAACTGTTTTCTCCCTAACCAAACCCCTTACTTAATTCAACTGTTTTCTGTCTTGGTTTTCCTATACATATTAATGGTATGTAAAATGAAACAAATTCAGCCTAGGAATGGTGATAGGTTGGGTTTGGTCTAGGTTGTGGTCATACCAACTCTGACATATAAAGTTGAACTCCAAACAAACCCTGGTTCACCCTATTAAAAAGGTAGGGTGCTAACTAAATTGAAAAATAGAATGAGGAGGGGATTCCTTGGCTCATTCATGAATCAATAAGGACAATATATCAATTATAGCTATGAACGTTGTACCTGTCAAACAAGGGGCATCTAACATTAATTGCAGGACAATTGCAAATTGAATGAGGTAAAACCTATGAACTTAAGGTGTGTATGTGTGTGGGAGGAGGGTGGAGGAGAGCAGAGCAATTTCAAAGTAGACAATAGATTTAGAATGCAAATTATTCTTACTTCTGAAATGAGATGAAAATAAATGGTGAATGGTAAGTGAAGCTAATTGATGTTGTCCCTAAATGGTGTCTGAACTATAGGCAAGCCAAAATCTAGATGTGAACTAAGCATATCTCATACATGGGATGGTCGGTTCATTTTCTATTTTGTTTTGTTTCAAGTTTCCCGTTTAGTATAAACTTGCAGATACACCCTAACCTATCTGATGGCACTGTATTAACTCCAAACTACAGATTTTTTTATTTGGTGAGTGGGGAAATAAAAGCTGCACGTGGGATCCAATTCTACAACTATCCAATTTGAGATTCACAGTGCTGACCAAATATACCAATACAAGCAAGTCTCTCTTTTTGTTTTATTGTCTTAATTATTTTATAAAAATATATTAGGTAGAACTGTTTCATACATGTTGATATATAGTGCTCTTCAATAACACAGAAAAACCCTTATCCAATCAGGCCCTTCTCAGATTTGAGTGACCAGTCTTTTCCAGAGAGAGAGAGAGAGAGAAGAAGAAGAAGAAGAAGAAGAAGAAGATGTACTCGAGCTCCTCTTGCAGTCAGATCTTCTCTGATACCATCTAGAATAGAAAAGAAGAAAAGAGAAGAGAGAAGGATTACCAAAAAAGTGATTGGGGCAGCGCCCCACTTGACTTATATATTAGGGTGATCAAATAAAAGGGGATATTATAAGAATACCCCTGATTACAACTTAACAGAGAAAACATAAAACATTCCCTATAACAGTCTTGGTAACATTCCTTACAACAACAAAAAACTTGGCTAAATGGCTAGGAACCAACCTTTAAGAAAATTAATCAAATAGCTGTATGTAACATAGAAACCAGAATTTGCTTGAAGATGTAAAATAGTTCAGATGCTAGGGAGCATAACCCACAAGACAAGGAGTTAAAATATAAATTCTTCCATAGGATTCCTTCTAGAGAACCAATAAAAGAGAAAATCTGAAAAATGCTGCCCTAGCTTACCAATTAGATTAGATTTCCTTGCTCAAATGACTCTTTGATCTTCTTTCTCATATAAAACCGACTTGAACTATAAATTTCAAGTCTATATTCCACCAAGTGTGAGAGAATCGAAAGAAAGTCCAAATCTGATCTTACTTTTTCCTGCTTTCTGAAAGAAGCAATATCACCCATTCAGGGGTAGTGTAAAATTCCAAAAAATGATGAAAAATGCTCACAAATATTCCTCATTGAAGGGTAAAAATCCTAAACAGATTGCTTCACAAATTCAAGAACCATATTGTGTAAACAGTAACTGTGAATAGTAACATGAATGGTAACCATAAACAATAACTCGATTGCTAGTCTTCCTTGGTTCACCAAACTAATTCCCACACTAAACCTGCTCTGTTACCATGTTATGGAGAAATAGTGCAGTAAATTAGTTGCCGTAGTTGCTGTTTTTATAAGTTGTCAGTTTTTGCTATGTTTTTAGTTGCTGTTAGTGTTGCTGTTAGTGTTACCTGGGTAGCAGGGTATTTATGCCTTTGTACTGATTTTTATATTAGAAACATATAAATACCAATTGTGAGAGAGGGTGGCAGACAGATCAATTGCGCCTTTATTCTCCTATTCTTATTTTCTTCCCTTCTCCTCTGTTCTCCCCAGCTTTCTCCTATTCTTTTTCTCTTTTCTTTCTCTTGTTTTTTGCTGAAACTGCATCAGAACACTGGCCGACTGTGAACAGACCATCCAACTTGGTATCAGAGCAAAGTTTAGGGCCTGTTAAGCTTCTTCCAACTTACTACATGAGGATAAATTAAGGCTGGAGTTTTCAGCTTGGTGTGCCTAATTCTTGGAGGTTTTTGGAGAAATCTGTTGCTGTCCAAGACCTGTGTAATCTTGGAGATCACCAACAACCAGGAAGAATTAGAGATTTAGGACTGGATAGAAGTTTAAGGGTTAAAACCTTCATTGGTAGTGGCTCTCAGGGTTTTCTGGGTAGAAAATACATTCTTTCAGAAGTCGACAGCTTATAAAAGGTGGTTGGATTTTTCTGGAAGGAGGGGCTAGATTTTCTGGTTTTCTCTAGGGCTGGTATTGGTTCTGGTACTAAGTTGCTGAAAGATTATTTCAGAGCTGTAATTGACAATGGGTTGCTGTACAAAATCCTTTTTCAGCCTCTTAGATACCTGTGAGTCTTTGGTGATGTGATTAACATGGAGACAGTTGGGAAGGAAGCAAAAGCACTTAGGGAAGGATCTATGGGGCCTGGAAATATGTCACAATAATTTTCAGATTACCACTGTTAAATTTGATGGCACAGGTTACCTGGAATAGACCCAATTAGCCATGATGGCTATTGGAGGAAAGGGGAAACTTGGATATATAACTGGAGATGCAACTCTATGCAGCTCCACATCATTAGAAATTACTTATGCAACAATTACTTACTAGGAACAGTATCACTTTGTCTCAGGCTTATTAAGAGGGTAAAAGGAAAGTCATGTTACATATTCCACCCATGGAATCAACAATGGCAGTAATGAAACCAAAGCCTATAGGTGATAAGGAGAGGGATATAAAATGGGAAGACAAGAGGGAGATCATTTGTGATTATTGTAAGAAACCAAAGCACACTAGGGACACTTGTTGGAAGTTGTATCCTCATCTTGTTCTAGCAAGACTCAAGAATAAGAAGGGAATGCTAATGCAGCTGTTATTACTGATTGTGCATCTTTTACCATGAAATCCACATCCCTAGATGCCTTATCCGCAGTCAGAGCTGCCTTAATTCAATTAGAGAGTGACATTGGAGCTTCAAGATCATCTCAACCATCAACCACTACATCCACTGCTACTCCCACCTTGATTTTTGCTCACTCAGGTACAAGGGCTACTGCCTATCATGCTTCAGCCCCAGGTAACACTAGTCTATTTTGGATTGTTGATCCAAGTGCTTCAGACCATATGACTAGTTTGTCCTCTATGTTTACCTCTTACTCCTTATCCTCTGGAAGAGACAAAATTTCTATTGTTGATGGCTCCCTTGTACCTATTTCTAGCAAGGGAGATATCAGAGTGTCTAATGTCATCTCTTTTGTCCCCAATCCTACATGTCCCTAAGCTTAGCACCAATCTGCTTTCAGTTAGTAGTATTACAAAAAAGCATAATTGCTCAGTAACCTTTTTCCCTGATTGGTGTGTCTTTCAGGATTTGGCGACAAAGAAGGTAATTAGGACTGGCCATGAAATGAATGGAATCTACTTGCTAGAGCATCTGCTTGGGAGGTATAAAGAAGTTACGATGTCTTTTGTATCTTAGTCTGTGAGTCAGATTTTTCTTTGGCATAACTGGTTGGGTCATTTATCTTTTAAGTCTTTGAAGAGTCTTTCTACTTCATTTGAGTTTGTCCAAGTGTCCAGTTTGAGGTGTGAAAGTTGTGAACTTGCAAAACGTTGTAGATAAACCTATTCTTTGAGTAATAAAAAGAAGCATTGTTCCTTTTGAAATTGTATATACCGATGTTTAGGGGCCATATCACATTACTGCAATTGGAGGGGTACAGATATTGTTGTGGACGCTTTCATTGGGAAGCAATATCGCTGCCGACAGCAGCAGTAAAGGGTGCAAGATTCGGTGTTCTCATCTTATCTAATTCAGTGTTCTCATCTTATCTAGCTAGACACAGTTCTATCTTATCTGTTCAGTGTTCTTATCTTATCTATTTTCAGTAGTATGGATTAGTAGGGAGTCTTATCTGTTTAGTGTTCTTATCTTATCTGTTTCTATCTTAGCTAAATTCAGTAGTATAGATTAGTAGGGAGTCTTCCTAAAAGTAGGACTCTTATCTTCTTGTAATC